AAAAGTAATAATTTAAAAACTCTAAAAGTGCAAATGAAAATTATAATGAAATATCACTTTATACTCACTGGGATGGCTACTATCAAAAAACCAAAAAATAAAAAGTGTTGGTAAGGATGTGGACAAATTGAAACCCTTGTGCACTGTTGGTGGGCATATAAAATGGTGCAGCTCCTATGGAAAACAATGTGGCAGTTCCCCCCAAAATTAAAACTAGAATTACTGTATGATATGCCAATTCCATTTCTAGGTATATAGCCAAAAGAGTTCAAAGCAGGCTCTTGAAGAGATATTTGTCTACCTGTGCTCATAGCAGCATTATTCACAATGCCCAAAAGGTGAATGTAACCCACATGTACATGGATAGCTGAATGATTAAACAAAATGTGGTATATAGAGACAATTAAATATTATTCAGCCTTTAAAAAGGAAGGAAATTTTGGCACATGCTACATGAATGAGCCTTGAGGGCAGACATGCAAAGTGAAATAAGCAGTCACAAAAAGACAAATAGTGTATGATTTCACTTAGGGTATCTAGCGTAGTCAAATTCATAGAAAGTAAAATGGTGGTTTCTAGGGGCTGGGTACATGGGAAGAGACAAGGAGCTGTTGTTTAATGGGTATAGAATTTCCGTTTTGCAAGATAACGTTCTGGAGACTGGTTGCACAACAATGTGAATATACTTAACACTACTCAACTGTACACTGCTTAAATATGATGAAGATAATAAATTTTATGTTACATGTATTTTACCACAATTAAAAATACTCTAAAAGGAATCAAGAGTTTTTAACACACAAAATGACCTTGATTAACTTTGAAGTCCCCCTCTTCCCACAGAAAATTCTAGACATACTAAGTGATCTAAAGTACTAAAGCTTGAAATCTATTTTAGAAAACTTCTAAATAATCTGCCCTTCCATTTTCCCAGGAAGGAAGTACCCTGGCTTTCCTCTGAGATAAAGAGAAGTTGCTTGTGCTATAGGATGAACTCATTTCCAGTTTTCTCTGGGACTAAAGAACACAAATATGACATCACGTACAGAAGCACATATTACTACTACCATTGCTAATGTTTTTCCTTTTGAGATCAATATTTTAACTCCATCCTCTCTAGATGTTTTTGAAAGTTTAATACTTTTTATTCAAACTTCATTTTTATTCCAGTTTTCTCTTATTTATTTTGCAGTTTTATAACTTTGATAATCAGTGCTTAGTTCTCATCCACATTGACTATGGATTTTTGAAAGTGGCAACAGGAACGTAAGTAACCAAAATATAGGGCTTGTTTGAATCTTCATCCTTGTTACATTTTCTGGACAGCCACACATGGATATGGTGTGGAATGTCCCTTATTCCTTTGGGCCAGACAACTTTGTCGAGCCTGCTATCAATGTGCACACTTGGAGTCTCTATCTCCTTCATGGCAAATTTCCAGATGTCTTCGAGTGCCAGAGGGGCATGCTTCTTGAAGCCCACAGCATGGATACACTGGTGAATGTTGCTGGCATATTCTTGGGTCCCCACCTTGTTGATGGCAGAATGTCCCTTCTTCTTCTTGCCACCCTTCTTTGTGGAAGCTGTTCTGCTAGGTCCAAATTGGAAAGGACTCTCATTATATATTAAATAGTAGCTCTTGACTTTTTGTTATACATATTTCTGGGAGTATAGTAAAAGGGTATGTCTTAATTTTTCTATTAGGTTGGTGCAAAAGTAATTGCAGTTTTGGACCATGAATTTTAAATCACCATAACTAGGCTCAAACGTATCTTTATTAATCAAAATAGAAACCATTACAATCAACGCATTTTTACCAATGAGAAATGTTTGTTTATTCCTATAGTGTAAAAATCCATGCTTCGTGATTCCACGAACTGTTGGAAAGCATTTTCTGCATCATGCTGGTTGTGGAAGTGTTTTCCCAGCAAAAAATTGTCAAGATGCGTGAAGAAGTAGGAGTCAGTTGGCAAGGTCACGTGAATATGGTGGATGGGGCAAAACTTTGTAGCCCAATTCGTTCAACTTTTGAAGCGTTGGTTGTGCCACATGCAGTTGGATGTTGTCATGGAGAAGAACTGGGCTCCTTCCGTTGACCAATGCCGGGTGCAGGCGTTGCAGTTTTTGGTGCATCTTGTTGATTTGCTGAACATACTTCTCAGATGTGATGGTTTCGCTGGGATTCAGAAAGCACTCGTGTATCAGACTGGCAGCAGGCCACCAAACAGTGACCGTGACCTTTTTTTGGTGCAAGTTTGGCTTTGGGAAGTGCTTTGGAGCTTCTTCTCAGTCCAACCACTGACCTGGTCATCCCCAGTTGTTGTATATAAAATCCAATTTACATTGCACGTCACGATCTAATCCAGAAATGATTCGTTGTTGTGTACAATGCGAGAAGACAAAACTTCAAAATGACGATTTTTTTTGACTTTCGGTCAGGTCATGAGGCACCCACTGATCAACTTTTTCACCTTTCCGATTTGCTTCAAATGCCAAACGACCATAGAATGGTGAACCGTCAACCTTGAGCTCTTCAGCAAATTCTCGTGTAGTTGTAAGAGCATCAGCTTCGATGATTGCTCTCAATTGGTCGTTGTCAACTTCCAAAGGCTGGCCACTGTGCTCCTCCTCTTCAAGCCTGTTGTCTCCTTTGCAAAACTTCTTGAACAACTTGAACTATTGCACTTGTTAACAGTTCCTGGGCCAAATGTGTTGTTGATGTTGAGAGTTGTCTCTGCGGCTTTACGACCCATTTTGAACTCGAATAAGAAAATCACTGGAATTTGCTTTTTGTCTAACATCAGTTACATAGTCTAAAATAAATATAAACAGCAAGTAATAAGTCATTAGCAAAAAAAATAAAGAGATGTGCATTAAAATGAAGTATAATATAACCACATTTATTTAAGAATGTATTCCAATATCAAACGGCAAATTTCAACAATGCTAAAACCACAATTACTTTTGCATCAACCTAATACTAAGCATAATTTTTCAACTTGGAGGCACCTAACTCCTAAAATCATTCTTTGCCTATTAAGTCTCATCATATAACTACACCTTCATTCCTAGACCTATTTTGACTAAATTGTATCTCTTTGGTTTGTTCGATTGGTTCGAAGTTAAAACTGCTGATCAAGCATGTGAGCCTTCACCAGTGGTCTTGCACAGAAAGACCTACATCTAGAATCTGTGGCTTTGGCAGGCACATTTTCGTCCTGACTGATGAACTGTTTGGTAATAGATCATAGGTTTGTCTGAAATTTTTGAGCAGGAGAGCTTAAACTATTCAGAATCAAAACACCAGGTAAATAGTAGATAGAGAAAATAGGCCCACATTATTTCCTCCCACAATTTCCAGACCCTTAAGAAGCAGAGGCCACAATGCCTAGTGGGTGATGTATACCTTGCTGGAACCTACATCAATATAAGGAGATTGCCAGTGTCTGAAAGAAATGGTAACACCCAGGACTGTGCACCGTCTCCTCTCGTGTTCACAAGACCAGCAGAGCTGCAACGGATTTGGATGTAACACTTGCCATTGTAGGAAACGCTAGGGGTTAGGCTCAGTGAATCTGGTCCCTGGCTGATCCCAGCTGCTATCTTTCTCAATGAATGAGAGATTTTTCAAGATAACTTTGTTTAGAATTAATTAAACTTTACTGTGTATATCAACTACCACCCCAGTTGTTTTGCAAAAGGGGAAAGGGATCAGTACCAAATTACCAAACAGACTTGCAAACTCATCTCTGTCACAAAGCTCCCACTATTTCCACTGGGGACTTTCTTCTGATTTGAGCAGCACTTTCTCGTCATAGTTGCCTTAGTCTCTTCAGGCTATTACAACAAAGCGCCACAAACTGGGTGGCTTATAAATGATTAGAAATTTATTTCTCACAGTTCTGGAGGCTGGGAAGTCTGAGAGCAAGGTGCTGGCAGATGCAGTGTCTGATGAGGGCCTGTTTCCTGGGTCACAGATGGAGGGGATGAGCTAGCTCTCTGGGGTCTCTTTTATAAGGGCACTAGTCCCAATCAGGAGGGCTCTGCCCTCATGACCTAATCACCTCCAGAAGGTCCCACTCCCTAATACCATCACCTTGGGGATTAGGATTTCAACATAAGAATTTGTGGAGGGAGGAGGATACAAATATTCAGTCCCTAAAAATATTCCCCATACTACTGTGAAATCTGTTGAGGGAGACAGGGGACAGAGTGATACCAGTAAGGAAAAATTCCCCTGAGAAGAGTAACTACTGATGGTTGATTATTTGAAGATGTGGTATCTGGCAAGGGCTAGGTGCTGCCAGCCACGTAGGGCTATTTTTTAGGGAACAGCAGAGGTCCCCTTAGGAAGACGGTGTACTCTGTCCCTTCAGGTAGATGCAGTTGGTCTTCCTTGCAGAAGATGGCGAGGCCTCTCTGTCAGTCACACAATCTAGACAATCTCTAGTCCTTTCCATTTGAGAATTCAGTATTATGACCTCAGTAAGGGAACAGGATTATAATTTTCCAGCATTTTGAGAGATTGAGCCAATGTCATAGACTCTGTATAGTGAAATGGCTCTCAGATTTCAAGCTGAGAGGAAGTAATGAAAGGAAAACGAATTATACCCATTCTCTTCCAAAGTGGTCCTATGTAGTGCTGACCAATTCCATTTTTATCCTGTAACTTTCCTACCTCTAACTCAGTGAACTGATTTACTGGCAAACATGACTAAAAATTTGCCATTTGGGGTTCTGTGTACATTTTAATATTATCTTAGTTATAAAAACAACATTTTGGTTTTTCGAAATTAAGACTAAGTTATTAAAAGTTACTTATGGAACATTTCAAACAAAAAATAGTATAATCAACTCCTTTCTCTATCCATTACTCAGCTTCAATACTTAGTGAGATGGAGCCAATCTCATTTCATTTCACCACCATCTCCACCTGCTGGGTTGTTACCTTCCCCCCATCCCTTTTTCAGTTTTCCCCACATCCTGGTCACTGGATTATTTTAAAGCAAATCCCAGACATTGTTATCATTTAAAAAATACCATTAGCACATCTAAAAACCCCCAACAATTCTTAGTTAAT